CTTATGAAGCCATTTTCGAGAACAAGATGAACTGCAAGATGAGCTTAAAAAATGAACCACAAAATGAGCTGCCACAGAGTAAATGCAGTAGTTTTATAGCAAATCCAATAGACCAAAAAAAAAAAGGTCTAATTGGTTTTAAGGAATTTGATAAAAAATGCAAATTCATTTTACTTCACTACTATATTTTGGTTGCTTGGTTTCTATATCATTAAAGCATAATTAGAGTTACCAAAGAAATGTCAAAAAATATATTTTTCCATTGAAAATTCCATACCTAACTCAGAAGAAAAAATGGATAAAATATTTATTTAATCATCAAGGTGACATAAATTTCCTCTTCTAACAAGAAACACAGATTTATTACCTTATTAAACAACCAAAGAAGGAAAACATACCTTTTCATCACCTTTTTCTCAACCAAACATGGGAGTGAAGCCTACTTTCAATTCAATTCCAGTACCAATTTCCACTACTTTCCACTCATTAAATTCCTCGGAACCAAACAGAGCCTATTATGTTTAATATACACTTTCTGCAGCAAGTTAAACAGCCCTTAAAACTTACATTGCTCCCCAATTTTCCTCTTGACAAATGCCTTCTTTTCCTTCGAACTATAATACAGAAAACTCATTACACTTATCGTAAAACTCCAAAGAAAAAAGTATACATGCTAATGAAGTTAGAAGGATAAAAGAGCCCCCTCAGCAGTTGCTTTCCTCTTCCATGTGTTACAGGAGACACCTTTAACAGCTATTTCAGCTTGTATCAGTCCATTAAAAAGAAAAGAAACAAAGAAAAGTGTAGAGCCAACTTCCCCAAAAAAGCGTCAAAACTTTCCATTGCATATCACCAACTCTTGCTGCTTTTCAGCTTGACCTTGCATCGAGGTGGCACAAGCATGATTGTCCATTCTTTTTTTCTCTGCTAAGTAGCCTGTAAGAAGTGAAATTTTTTAGTTTTGATTAGCGTGCAATTAATAACTGAGGATCTTAGTTATATTATTATTAGCTCATAGAGTCATCAAAACTATTTTAGAATACAAAGTTATTCACCAATAAAAAATTATAAGGATATAATGAGAAAAATAATGAAAAACATAATGATAGAAGAGTTCAAAGGAATAACTAATAATGGCAAAAATGAAAGATTTAAGTATATAATATATGATCTCTGACAGTGAGATTTTTTCTAGTATGATCTTTGTTGTCTATTTGGAGATCTCTATATGTAAATTTAAATTCAAGACGTGTACACTCATCACAATATTCAAGATGTTTAACCACGATTTGTATGTGGGTAATGCCAAATCGTAGTAGCATCAAGGAAAGGAGAAAAAAAGACTGAGGAGCCCAAGGGAAGAGCGAGTCCTCCTTCCCCCTCCCCCTTGTTCAAAAACATTTGACCTCTCTTTATAGATATTAGGGTGCCTTTTTGCATTGGTGCAAGATTTACAAGAAAGAAACAAAAGGTATATAAAAATAGGTAAATACAAATAATGTTATGTCACAATCTGTAACTTTTTCGTTGCAAACCAGAACTGTGTCATGTCATTTCTGTAGCCATACAAAATATATGTCCAGAGAATCAAAACCTGACACTTAAGCATCTCAACAACTCAACTTGACAGGCCAGCTCAACAAGTCAGCTCGACACCTGATAGGTTAAGTTGGCACCTAGCAACTCGACATGTCAAGTGGACACTTAGTAGAGTCAACTTGATAGGTTAGCTTGGCAAGTCAACTTGGAAGGTCAAATCGGTACCTGTCAACTCGGTAAGTTAATTTGGGCACCCAAGACTCAGCAGATCAGCTCGATAGGCCAGCTTGGCAGGTTAGCTAAGCACTAGAAACTTAGCAAGTTATCTCGACAACTGATAGCTTGACAAGCCAAATTGGTGCCCAACAGAGTTAACTCAGAACTCGACAGCTCGATAGGTCAAGTAAATGCCAAGCAACTTGACATCTCACAGGGTCAACTCAACAAGTTAGTTTGGCACGCCAACTAGATAGTCCAGCGAGTTAGCTCAATTCGACACCAGACAACTCGACAGGTCAACTCAGCACCTAACAGCTCGATAAGTCTACTCCATAGACCAGCTTGGTAGGCCTCGGGAGGCCAACTCGGCAGGCAAGCTAGGCAAGTCAGCTTGATAGACTAACTTAGCAGGCTGGCTCGACATAAGTCCAATGGCGCCGACAACTTGACAGGCCAGCTCAGCAAGTCATATTAGGTATAAAACATTTGGTCCTCAAGTCAAAGAGAAGACAATGCGGAATGATGATTTTATAAAAATATATACCAACAAAACAAATCTGCTTTCAAGAAGCACAACAAAATGAGCCTAAGGCAGAGTAAAATGTAAGCAAATTTGCCGTGCAAAGGAAGCTTATACAAAAATAAATATGACCAGATTGATTGCACTTATGAAGCCATTTTCGAGAACAAGATGAACTGCAAGATGAGCTTAAAAAATGAACCACAAAATGAGCTGCCACAGAGTAAATGCAGTAGTTTTATAGCAAATCCAATAGACCAAAAAAAAAAAGGTCTAATTGGTTTTAAGGAATTTGATAAAAAATGCAAATTCATTTTACTTCACTACTATATTTTGGTTGCTTGGTTTCTATATCATTAAAGCATAATTAGAGTTACCAAAGAAATGTCAAAAAATATATTTTTCCATTGAAAATTCCATACCTAACTCAGAAGAAAAAATGGATAAAATATTTATTTAATCATCAAGGTGACATAAATTTCCTCTTCTAACAAGAAACACAGATTTATTACCTTATTAAACAACCAAAGAAGGAAAACATACCTTTTCATCACCTTTTTCTCAACCAAACATGGGAGTGAAGCCTACTTTCAATTCAATTCCAGTACCAATTTCCACTACTTTCCACTCATTAAATTCCTCGGAACCAAACAGAGCCTATTATGTTTAATATACACTTTCTGCAGCAAGTTAAACAGCCCTTAAAACTTACATTGCTCCCCAATTTTCCTCTTGACAAATGCCTACTTTTCCTTCGAACTATAATACAGAAAACTCATTACACTTATTGTAAAACTCCAAAGAAAAAACTATACATGCTAATGAAGTTAGAAGGATAAAAGAGCCCCCTCAGCAGTTGCTTTCCTCTTCCATGTGTTGCAGGAGACACCTTTAACAGCTATTTCAGCTTGTATCAGTCCATTAAAAAGAAAAGAAACAAAGAAAAGTGTAGAGCCAACTTCCCCAAAAAAGCGTCAAAACTTTCCATTGCATATCACCAACCCAAAAGTCAAAGAACCAACAACCCTTTCCCCCAAACCAAAACGAAAGTATAAACTCATCACACACCAAAAATAAAAAAAAGATCAGAAACACAAAAAATAAGCCTGTTGAGAAAAAAAGATAATACCAAACTCTGAGTTTTCCTCATTCAAAGCCTTCTCCTTTATAGGAGATGAGATGAAAACCTCCTTGGCCTTAAAAGACACACCATTTGACGCTTTTACAGTGGAATCTGTCCTCTTCTGTGCCGAAGAACAAGTTCCCATGGCTTCTACGCAACAGCACTTCCCATCTCTGAGGTCTTGGAGTGCTCTTGAGGTTAGAAGGAGAAAAGAGAAGTCTTTTTGTAAGAAAATACTGCGTTGGAAGTGAAGTGACACGGGGTGTGTGTCCTATCTGCTACATGGGTTCCCGATAATTTTACTCTGGTTCCCTTATCCATGTGCACTAATTGTTTCTTGATTTTTTTAAACAGTGAATCTCACATGTATTCAAACTCCCAAGGCTCGCCTAACTTTTGTAATGATTCTTGCTGATGTCTGTAACGGCAACGGTGGAGTATTACGGTATGTTTGCGTTGTCTTTTAGGTTGGTGAAAGTGAAAGCTACCGTCTTTTTTTTGTTTTTTCTACCCACATCAATTTTGTTTTGTTAGTTTATGGTATTAACCTGGCGCAACACTTGGTAGGCTTTTCCCTCACTTATTTACTTTAGGGGCATTTACGTACATACCCCCACAATCTTATGTTTTTACATATCTAACGCCTAATAGTGTCATATTTACATTCATAACACTCGCATTAACATGACTTCAAAAATATTACTTTTACCTAAACTTTTTAAAACTGAAGTGCATCATTTTATGCATATTGTTTATGGCAGCAAAGTGCTATCAACATAAATATCAAATTCATTCTCCATTTGATTAAAGTTGATTTAATGACATGTTTACCGTATGTATGTGTTTGTCTCACTTAGATGAGTCCATAAGATCAAACCCGAGGAGATTTGGTTGAGTCTAGAGGGAGATCTTAAGTTTTAGTGTGAACGATTCTCAGGTTAGCCTATTTACGGACGATGACCCACAACCATTGGATCACGCGTGTATCAAATGGAGGGCTTTGATTACGCTGGATGGGAGCGTGGTCCATAAAGTACGAGCTGACTCAGATGGCGGCACAGAATCATGCAGAAAAATCACAAAAGTAAAATAAAAATATCCTAGTGCTTAGTGAAGAGAGAAGAACAATGTGGAAATGGTTTGAAGTTTGTTTCATGAATATTTATATTCAATTAATTAAGTACTGATTATTCTCTATGCATGTAGACCTTTCATCATAGCATGATATTTTGGCATGTTGTTGCCTCTGTCATGGGGGACATTCCCTGATTTTTTTAAAGTCGCAGGAGACTCCTAGACAGAGGAATACCTCTAGAAAAATATTCATATTTTCAAGTTTATTTTTATTATTTATATAAATTAATCATAATGATTAGCATGTTTCTTTAAAAAATCTAAAGAACTTTTGTAAGGTTTATTGTGACCAGAGAACCCTTTGGAAAACTTTTCATGAGTTAAATCATTAAGAACACACTTAACTCTCACAAAACCCTAAAATACAAAGAAAATTAATTTGGGAAAAATAATCATCTAAATGAATTGATTTTAATTTTTCACTGTGATTTAAAGTTAAGAGAACTCCTCAAAAAATTTTCAAAATATTTGGAGCTCATTTGATAATTTAACTTGATTTTCTAAGTTAAATGTCATTTTTATAGTCAAATGATTTTTAATAATTAAAATATAACTCCAAGGATCATAAGAATTGGTTTCGAAGTTCTCTATGATCAGAAGAATTTTCTAAAAAAAAATTGTAAATAAAATAAAAACTTCATTTTTAAGCCTATTTTGAATATTTAAGTAATTAAAAATTAATAAAAATCACAAAATTAGTAAAATTCATAAAAAATATTCTAAGTTGTTTTCTAAGTACTTAAGAACAATTAGAATATTTTTTCTAATTTTCTAAGTGAAGATATTGAATTTTAAAGCTTAAAATAATTTTTAAAGGCTATAAAATGAATTTTTCTTAATCTTTCGCTTAAAAAATTCTAATAATTCAAAGAAAATAAAAAAAATGTAAAATTTATTTTTCTGGGTTCCTTGACCTCAGAAAGATTTAATAAAAACACAAAAATTAATTTTCAACATTAAAAATATTTTATAATTAATTAATGCTCCAGAATTTAAAAATAATTCTAATAATTTAAATAAAACTCAACAAATCATGAAATTTGGCCCAAGTGTTTCTCTAGTCCAATTCTACCTCCAGTAAAAATTTTAATGGATTAGGCTTTGCCTTGGTCAAGTTATCAAATTTTCTTTGAAAAATCCTATTTTTGCATGAAAATAAATATATAAATTAAATTGAAATTTAAAAAATTACATTTTCTTCTCTGATGTCTTGATTGACCCATGATTAAGGTGCGATGAAAATTCCAAAGTCATTTGAATTAAATTTGATGAACTATGAAGTGATAGAGCCTTATGGGCAAAAGTGTAATTTTGGAAATTTGGCCTTAATTAACACTTAGGTTTAATTCAAGAAAGGGGAAATGGGCAACCCTTGATATTAACTAACATATTTAGATGATTGAAACATAAGGGATTAATTGGTATAAACCAATCTCACTTTTTCCAATTAAAGAATAAATTTGAAATTTTTCTAGGTTATCAAAATTTGGAAGTCTACCAAATTAAATGATCTTAGACTTAGGGGTATAGTTTTGGGTGTTAATAACTCACTAATATAATACCCCTATCTAGTGTTCAAGTGACATCCAAATGTTTTGATGATGAATTATTGTCACTTAAAATTTAATATTTTTCAAAATGACTAAGACATCCACCAGATCTTAAGGGCTTAGTAGTGACCTAAGTTAAATCAAATTTGGTTAAATGAGGATTAGAGAAGTGAATGTAACTAGAAATTGAACACTACAAGCCCAAATTAAAGCTAAAATTGGCCAAGTGTCTTAATAACATTAACTTGCCCCTTTAAGGGTCTTCACTTGTATAATTCTCAAATCGAATGATAAATGATAATCACCGTACTCTTAGGGATAATTGAAACATCACTGTTCATTGAACACTAGAAATATTTATATGATAGATTATTAAGCAACATAATAAGTTCAAAAGAGCTCAATACTTTTCACCATGCAGTGAGGGAAAAACATGAACCTGCCTTTTTCTCCTGACCTGTTGGATATCTCGGAGGTCTACTAAACTTGATATGTTTTGCTTAATAAAATCATCCTTAATCAAACCAATAAGAACTCACCAAGATATAATCTAGGAACCCTAATTTTCCTGCTTTACATAAAATGCTCTTACATGTATTTTGAGTTTCAATTGGAGATGACGGGAAGACCATACATGTATGCTATTATTGTGATTTATTTACCTGCATTTTGGGTTTCC